TTTCACTCTTGTTGCCCAGGCTGGAGTGTAATGGTGCAATCTCAGCTCACTGCAACCTCTACCTCCCGGGTTCAAGCAATTCTCCTGCCTCAGCCACCCAAGTAGCTGGGATTACAGGCGCCCGCCACCATGCCCAGCTAATTTTTTGCATTTTTAGTAGAGATGGGGTTTCAGTATGTTGGCCAGGTTGGTCTTGAACTCCTGACCTCAGGCAATCCGCCTGCCTCAGCCTCCCAAAGTGCTGGGATTACAGGCGTGAGCTGCCACATGTGGCTCAGGACCCATCTTAAAACATTTAAAAAAATTTTAACAAACTTCCCAGGTATTCCTGATCAGCCAGACTTGGGAACCACTGACTTAGCACACTTATTTCAGGTCTATCAAAGAACTTCAGGCCTCTGAGTTTACCAAGAATATCGATAACTTTGGTTAGGTTATAAGCCACCATCCTAGAGAGAATTTAACAAATTAAACAGTCTAGTAGTGATTTGATACTAAAAAGCCCTGCCCAATTTAGTACTTAAATTACCTAATGATTTTCTGTCTATCCACTTTCCTCCCCCAGGCTAGGGCCTGCATGTAATATGTTTCCTATGACTAAGTGCCTATGTGCTCACAAACTTGCCCCAGTGGAGGCTGTTAACTTCTCCCTTTTCTTCTTCCATTTAGATTCCCAAAGCTGTGAGGAGCAGACCTATTTCGAAGCATCACAGCCAACTGATGCCATTTGCAGTATTATGCATTAAGACATCAACCCAGAAACCTGCAAATCGGAGACACTAGACAACCCTATCATGAGGATTAAGCTCTTTGTGGAAGAAAATGCTCTCATTGCATGAAATAGGTAGTTTAAAAACGACTTTTTTTTTTTTTGAGATGGAATCTTGCTCTGTCACCCAGGCTGAAGTGCAGTGGCATGATCTCGGTTCACTGCAACCTCTGTCTCCCAGTCTCAAACAATTCTCCCACCTCAGTCTCCAGAGTAGCTACAGGGATTACAGACACGTGCCATCACGCCCAGCTAATTTTTGTACTTTTAGTAGAGATGGGGTTTTGCCATGCTGGCCAGGCTGGTCTCGAACTCCTGGCCTCAAGTGATCTGTCTGTCTTGGCCTCCCCAAATGCTAGGATTACAGGCATGAGCCACCATGTCCAGCCAAAAAACTTGACTATTCTTGATGCCAAGACAAGAGAAACTTAATTATGACTTTAGAAGTTTCAAAAATACAGTGACTTCTGGGTCACTTCTAATAGCCAAAAATCCGTAGATGTCCAGACCCCCTCCTTCTGCATTCCAGAATCAGATGTTTACATTCCAAGACAGAAAGAATCTGAAACAATGGCCCACAAGAAATTTGGGGAATGACATTTGATCTCATTTTCCTCTCAATTGGAGGTCATGATATCAATGAATATCAAATGGAAAAATAAGCTCAAAAGTAGGTGAGAATCATCTCTAGAACGCAGGTGCTGATTTCTAATCCTTCTCACAAAATTCCGAATCACAAATCGAGGGCTGATGAGATGATCTTACACAGAAGGCACTAACTGGCACTAACATGAGCCAGCAACATGTCAAAGGCTAATCCAGGAGATGCAGAAATGCACACAGGTCCCAGGTGTCTTTTCTAAGTGACAATGGGCCTCCTTACTGGACAGTAGTCAGGAGACAATTCAAATGTACTTAAAACTGTCAGGTGGAAAACCAAAGGGAAGAGACTTAAAAGACCTCCCAGAACTGGGATGGAAAACAAGCCAAACACTACTAGCAGCAGGACCAGCTGGAGGACTTGGTTTGTAGATTGATGTAGTCCCCTTGGGTGGACAAAGACATGATATCTTCTCTGGAATTTCTCATCATCTTTTCAATGAGGACTCTAAAAAACAAAAAATAAGCCTGAGAAGCTTATTTTGGAGGAAAAGCAGAAATGGCAGATGTAGTCTGGTTTATCATCAGAGACTATTTGGTAAAGCCAGAAGGTTTAAACGCCCCTTTGTCCCCAGTTATCTCAGGAGAGAAGACAGTATCCCTGACCTTTAGGGGCTGGCATTCCAGCGGCTCAGTCTGTCACTGTCGGCTCAGAAACAAGAAAAGAGGGTCCACAGGGCCACGGTGGAAGATGGATACCTCTGCATGCCTATCAGCATGAGCTACTTACCTCATAGCCTCATTAATATTTTTGTTCTCCTTGACTGATGTTTCTGTCCAACCTGTGAAACCATTCTCTTTACTGAAACGGTCAATCTGGTCCCGGCTCACTGCCCAAGGGGACAGATCACACTGGCAAAGAGAAAAAATAAAAGGCAATATCATAAACTTCCTGGGAATAAGAATATGGCTCAGATACTGTGGATTTTAAATATTTTTCCACCAATGGATAAGAACACCAGCATCGGTAATCTACAGTCGACATTCTTCCCAAAGAAAGTCTCACCCTTGGCCGGGCGCAGTGGCTCACGCCTGTAATCGCAGCACTTTGGGAGGCTGAGGCAGGCAGATCACGAGGTCAGGAGATTGAGACCATCCTGGCTACCACAATGAAATCCCGTCTCTACTAAAAATACAAAAAATTAGCC